AAAATGAAAATTAAAAAGTAAAAAGAATCACAGAGAAATTGGTACAAACAAAAGACATGTAAATTGGATTCAATAACACCCATAACTCAAGTCCCTAAAGAAGAAACACAAAACAATGGAACATAACATTTAAAGCTGTAATTCAAAAATTTCTGAAGTAAAAGACCTCAATGTACCCAAAAAAGGAATGCACTGTGTATCTGTGAATATTGACCCAGTAGGGTTACCTTTGAGGCATATCTAGTAAAATCTTAAGACTTTAAATAATAACAATAGTGATAACAAAAATCTTCTGGGCCTCCGGACTAAAGGACCAAGTCATTTGCAAAAGAACATGAGGTTGACATTAAACTTGCCAACAGCAGCATACACAGCCAGGAGAGTGGGACGGCACATTCAAGAAAGTCAAGGAAAGACAGTACCAGGGCAAGGACTCTGTGTCAGTTGAACTGATTTTTAATTCTCAAGTTTGTATAAAACATTTTAATAGGCATACAACAATTCTAAGAATCCCGAGAAATCTATTTAAGAATGAATTCCTCCAACTAAGAGATAATTGAGAATACTTTAGAAATGAGCAAATGGTTGGCATGTAACACACTGCAGATCTGAGACTAAAACAAAATTCTGGATATGGAGAGAAGAACAGTTTACGTGGTTGCCAAAGTAGAAACAATACAACTAAAACTGGCAGGCAAGGGCGGGAGAAAGGATAAAGCTGGATAAGCTAGTTGATGTTCCTATAGTCAAAGATGCCATTTAAAGCTAACAAACCAAATGTAGAACTTACGTTTTTAAAATAAAAGAAAAAGACTTAGAGAATTATATAAAGATATTAGTATAATGGTGAACACTGGAATAAAATATGAGTCATTCTAAATATTAAAAGAACTAACAAATGAAAGGTCAAAGATAAAAGTAAATATAACACAAAACAATATGACAAAGCTAAGAATGAAAGTACCAGCCAGGGCAACAGATATAAACTCATCTACTAAAAGAAAATATTTTCTGACTGCGTCATAAAGCAAAATTTAACACAGTACCTAGCAAGTACAGAATACACATTCTTTTCAAGTCCACATGGCAGACACCAAGAAAGACACCAAGTCTCAAATTTAAAAGAATTGAAGTAAGAAGAAGTATGTTCCCTGACCAAAACTGAATTAAACTAGAAATCATCAATATCATTAGAGAAAATCTGAAATATTTGGAAATTAAGCAACATACTTTGAAATATATGGGTCAAAAAAAGGAAATCACCATTTGCAGCATTCCAACCATTATACTTACCAATAATTTTGATGTAACGTCTACCTTGCCAGAGAGCAAGACTGCAATCTCAGATTTTTTTAAGGTTTTAAAGAAGATTAAAATTCTTTTTGTTTTACTAAGAAATAATTGACATGCATCACTGTATAAATTTAAGGCATATAGTATTCATCTTTTCATATAGATAAAAGAATAAAGGAAAAAATTCTCCTTTTTGTTTGTAGGTAGAACTGTTGTTACATTTTGTTGTAATAATACTTATCAAAAGACAATAAAGCAAAATCTATAGAATGCTGAGAAGAAAAGATGTGACGAGAATTCTTTGTCAAAAAGTTTATGTTTGGGGTAATGAATTTTTTTCATATGCAAAGATTAACAGAACTCACCACTTATGTACTTTTACTAGAAATTACTTTAAAATATTAACTAACCAATCAAAAGATGAACTAAAATTAGGAACTGAAGAGTGAGAAAGATATGCAATAAAAGGGGTGTTGGTAATATTAAAGGTAATTAAACATACAGATATATATATATATAATATATATAATGTATTCGGAATGCTGAAATATAATGCCAGGCTGAATTATCAAACACTTGAAAGTAGAAAATAAGCAGGAAAATGCCGACCAGGAAAATACACAATAAAATTTTCTTTGGGTACTTCTGCTGCCAGTCAAGAGTGCTCAGTCTTGGTAGACTGGACTGGTCTTACCAAGGAGAGAGGCAGACTGGACTTACCCCCTCCTTAAAACAGCCCAAAGAAAAATAGAATACATAAAACAGCAGTTTTCAGAAACACTGGATCTCAGGCAAAGGACAGTGATCCCTGACAGCAAACAAAGGAAGTGAGTCTTACCACTGTCCTCGCTTCCTATCTTGAGACAGCACCCGAGCCCTGTACAGGGAAGGGAACTGGAGCACAGCCTCAGTGGGAGAGACAGAGCTGAGGGTCCAGGGAGACCGAGGGAGCTACCGTTTACAGGACAGAGTGCCAGAGAAGAGAACACTGCACAGAAAGACAGTTGTAAAGGGTTCCTTAAAGAGTATTTAGCTGAGCACTGATCAGATGTATCTGCGGCAAAATCTGGTAAAAGAAATACAACGGGCAGAGGTGGAGAATATTTCCACCAAGAATTTAAATACACGCTTCAAACACAAGGGCCACAACAGCGTGGCGCTAACCCACTGCGAGAGCGGCTCCATCAGCGGGCTCAACCCTGGCAGGGAGACAGGTCCTGGGCTGGTAAGGACTTAACATGGGGCCACAGAGTTTCCACTACAGAGGAAATATTATCTGACAATATTAATAAAATCAGTATCAATAATAATTACCCAATAATCAGTCTAGTTGTCTTGGTAATATTTGGAATAAGTACACTTTAGTTCAGAGGTTCTTAGCCTTTGACTTATTGACCGTTCTGCTTCTCTGGGCTTCATGGTATCTGAGAAAGTAGAGTGAAAAGTGACTTCTTTTCCCTTTACCTTTCTTCTTGAAGCCGAATCCACAGGAGGAAGAAGTTTTTACAATGTCACAGTAGGTTTTAAATGTATCTACATCATCAGAAAGTATTTTACTGCCACCACAGTCACATTGTATCACCTAGAACAGTTTCCCATTGATGAGGGGACAAAAGCCCTTCTTACCATTATGATTAGGGCTCTGCTTTTGTTGATAAGTTTAATTAAAGAGAGAATACTTAAAAAAAAAAAAGAAGCATCATAAAGTCTGAATCCTTTGAAAACAGCCGATAGGCTGCATCTCAAGTTGAAAAACAAAAGGCTCATTTCAGACTGGAAAGAGCTTGGGGAAGCCATGTCCCCTGTAAATGACAAACGTGGTCAGTGGCTTGGAACAGAAGGAAAACCGAAGCAGCTGAAGGAGCTTCTATTGCAAATAATGTCACCCACTCCAGAGGCCCTGACATTCTCCTGACATTTTAATATCTTACAGCAGGGCTAAGAGGAATTGATAACCAGGCAGCCAGTGAAACTTCCGATGCTCTCTGCACAGCTGACTCTGTTTTTCCTCCATTACTGGCATTCCTATTTCATGAGACCATTTTGAAATTTTCAAAAACTACCATCCTCTTGAAAATGGTATTTCCGAGCAAATATCTGACTGGAAAAAGTTGCGGAACTCGGGGCGCAGATCAAGTGTCTCTGGCACTTGGCTGTCCTCTTGTTTTTGCTGCTTCGGAAAAGAAGCTCCAGATGCCAATCTGACCGACCGCTTTCTGTCTCAGCAGGCCTGGGCGCCAAGTGTGCTGCCGCCGGCACTAACCGGAGGCTTGCCGCGTGCTGCGGGGGCACCAGCTTCATCGGGGCAGGGGCTAAGTCACTTTCTGGGATCTTTTTTATCAAAAAAGGGGAGCAGAATGAGAGCAGTTCTTCACTCACTAAGGGAAATTTGCTGGATTTCCAGAGGAAAGTCTTAAAATGCTGGATTACAGTTTGGGCAGCAATTTTACTTTTTTTAAGGTAGAAAAGGAATGTGTACTTTTTCATGTATGTTCAAGTACTTTAACATACTTGGATGATGTATGCTGTTCAAGAAAGGAGGGCACCTGTTTGGTAAGGGGTCGGACACTATGAGTTCAGTTCTTCTAACACCAAAGAAAGACTAGGCAAATCTGGAATTACGGGGACCAAACTTTTTCCAATTTTTCTGCAGGCAGAAGCAAACTCCTGCCAAACTCTTAAAGGTTACTTCCGATCAAGATAATCTTAAGATTGACATTTGGACTTACAATCCAAAATTCGGTGATGTGGGTGAACATCAATGACTTGGACTTTGTCAAAGATAAATTCAGTAAATTCAGAGCCGAGGAAATGATTCAAATGAATCCCACTAGTTCTCAACTGAAGCGTACCCTCATTTGGCAAAGTGAGCTTCCTGATTATGAAATCAAGAGAAGGCTGAGACTCAAAAGGGCAGCAGTGGGAGAATAAGGAAAGGTCATCAAGAGCAAAGACGTGTCATTAGAGACCAAGGCTAAGATTATCTACACCAGTGTACTCCCAAGTACTACAACAGGTGCACAAGCTGGACAGTGAGGAAGGCTGATAGAAAAAAAATTCATTTGAAATTTGGGGGAGAGCTCTACAGATTCCCTGGACCACCAGAAAGACAAATGAGTGGTCCCAAAGCAAATTAAACCTCAAACAAAGCTGGAGGCAAAAATGACAAAATGGAAGCTATTCTACTCTGGGTACATCATGAGAAGACAGAGGTCTCTGGAAAAGACAACGATGCTTGTGAAAAAACACAAGGCAGCGGGAAAAGAGGAAGATTGAGTACAAGCTGGATTGATTCAATCAAAGAAGCACCAGGCTGCTGAGGACAGAGCATCATGGACTCTTTCATTCAGAGTTGCCAGGAGTTGGGGCCGACTCACTAACAGGTAATACACACAATCACATAGGGAAAAAAAGTGTAGTCAATGTCTAATATCATAAAAACAAATTCTATCTAAATTTTTGTACATACATTTAAGTATCTTTTTTCCCCTGTAAGTTCATATCTTTTAGACTAGACTCAAAGAGATCTATGACTCAAAAACATGAAAAAAAAATCTACAATATCCCTAAAAGCATTTATTTAAAAAAAAAAATCATTTATTTGTAAGCTGAACTACCACTTTCACACAAAAGCTGTCATCCTCACTCGACTGAGCGAGCGGCCGCAGAGCGCCGTCCCGGGAGGAGAGAGGAAGATGTGCGGGCACCTGATGGTTTTCCACACGTCGAAGCCATCCAGGGGCTTGGTACCATTCGTGCTTCCCCCAGCCAGCTTCACGAGGGTTGGCAGCCAGTCGGAAATATGGATGAGCTCCCGGCTCTTCACACCCTTCTGTTTCAGCAAGGGGCTGGCCACGAAGCCCACGCCGCGGACGCCTCCTTCCCACAGGCTCCACTTTCTTCCTCGAAGGGGCCAGTTATTGCCCCCAGCCAAAGTCTGCCCTCCATTATCTGAAATACAATTAGGTGGTGGCATTAGGACAATATTTAAGAAGGAAAGACTTCTATGTATGTTCTTACTGAATTGTGCTTAAGGACTGAAGAAGATAATTCCTCCTAATCCTCTCCTGTACCAACTAACCTGTTCCCTCCCGAAAGTACCCTCCACCACACAGATATAACCAGACCGCAGTGTGACACAGATGTGACAGGGGACCAATCAGTCCTCTGTGAATACAGCCCCTGAAAAACAGCCGTCCCCTGTGGGTACCTGCTTGGGACGGAGCGCTGTGCTAGTTGATGCACAAGGTTTCAAATGCCTGTGTACAATGTGGTGGAACGGAAGGGTGTGAATCCAGGTAAGCTGGGACATTCTGGCACATGGAAAGAAACTTCTGAATGAGTTTCACTTAGTGACTTAAAGCTCCTGACAGGTGGGGACAACGGACCTTTTTATTTTCCTCCTGGAAAAATTTTCTGACATTTAAACTGGTTATTGAACTAACATTCTACTCCTTCGTAATTTGAATGCTTTCTTAAGTGTGAAAGTTGAAGATGTCTTCAGTGGGCTAAATGTCTCTGTAAACACAACAGTCAGATGGAAAAAATAATTGTAAGAAAAATTCCTCCCTTCCCGAAAGGGTGATGGCAAGACCAAAAGCTTCATGGTGCGCTGTGCCAAGGAAGAGAAGGGTTTCCTTTCAAGAAAACTGAAGGAATGGATGACATTGGTGAAGCCAACAGAGAAGTTACAACAGTGACTGAAGTTAAGTATCCTACCAGCTGCTTAGGGCTCAGAGTCAGAAATTAAGTTGGCCCACAGAAGGTAAAAAGTGATATTTCTTGTGCAGTGAGGCTGTAGAATCGTATTATCTTCAAAAGTAGCCACACACTTAGGTGACTTTAGGGACACATTTTAAACAACACTTATTTGCACATATATTATACTTACAACTAAACAATTTTTAAGATCCACTGTTATCCAAATGAACCACAGGAGGGCAGTAATACAGACCTGCTCTGTAGGACCGGACACATATAAAAATCTAACACAGAAATTAAGATCTGTCAAAGCCTCAGGATACACATGGAAGGCAAGAGAACTAATATGTGTTAAGTAAGCACCTACTATGCACCTGGCACCACTTTAATATCGTATCTCTCACAGAATCTGGAATCTGACAGACTGGAAGCCTGACACACTAGCTGTGTGATGCAAGGCAATTGGCTGCCTCATTATCTTTATCTTTAATGTGGAGGCAATAATTGAGCCATGGCTGGTGTGGCTCAGTGGACTGAGCACCAGCCTGTGAACCAAAGGGTCACTGGTTCTATTCCCAGTCAGGGCATGTGTCTAGGTTCTGGACCAGGTCCCTGGTGGGGGTGCGTGTGAGAGGCAACCACACACTGATGTTTCTCTCCCTCTCTTTCTCCTTCCCTTCCCCTCTCTCTAAAAATAGACAAATAAATCAATTAACTGCTACCTCATGTATTACAGTGAGAATTAAATGACATCATTTATGATCGTTGCTTGGTTGGGTACCTGGCACAACCCAAACACTAAATAAATGGTAGCTAATATTTATGACAACCCCAATAGTCTAATATTATAACAATATTGTTGCTTTAAAAGAAAAAGAGATGTGAAAAGGACAGTGGGAGGTGGGGGTAAGTAGAGTAGGAGAGAGGAATGGGGGCAAATGGGCAACTGTAATGGAACAACAATAAAAAAATAGAGTAAAACACAAACAGAAAAGAAAAGGACAAGCCAGTAAGTGGCAAATCTGGGGTTCAAACACGGTCTGAGTGACTCTCCAGGCAGCTTCTGTTCCCGGAGAGTCCTGCTCCTGACACTGGGAGAGGTTTACGCCCACGGGCCACAGCGATCTCCACGCCCCCCCGGGACCCACGCGCACAGTCGGCCTCGGCACAGAGTGCGCCCTTCCCTGACGCAGCACAAGGGTGCTTGGCAAGGTGAAGGTTCCCTTCAGAGGAGAGGCAGCTTTGCTGCTGGCGGGACAGAAGTCCAAGGATCTGCTGCCAAGGAGGCTTCCGATGAAAGCCCTCCACACCCCAGGTCTCAGTTCTTCTCTGCTTTGTGAAGAAGGTGGTTTAGAGGAAAGTGACATTTTTTCAACACGCAGGTGGATGACAATCAATCTTACTTGCTGTCAGGGACTTTTAAGAACCTCTCCTTAAACCCCACATCTCTTCTCGACAAAAACCCAAGGCCCAGAGAGTCACCCAAGCCAGTGTATTAAATACAGATTCTACTTCACATGCACCCACCTGTATTTTCAAAAGAAGGCACACTGTTTTTAGAAAGAGGAATTCCTCCATGTTCCTTTACTTCTCAGAGTATGTCACCCATAGCCACCATATTAGTTTAAAAGAAGGTGCTGTTCATGTTGAATGGCAAGAATACACTGGAAAGGAATGCTACCCTCTACCTGTGAGAACAAGAAAGGCTGAGGCAGCAAGATATTCTGCTCTGTCACCCGGATTGTAATAAACAATACTGACCCACTGCTTGTAGAAGATGCTCGACATCTCCATTTTAAATATTTGAGATATTATAAACTGTCTCTCTCAGTTGCACATATTTGTTAGTGCCCGACACAAAACTGCGGGTGGTGATGGTGGTGGAAATAAGAGTGGAGACGACGGGGAAAGGGCAGCTGCGTCTGGAATCTGATTCTAGGAGCGACCCCTTCAGGTATGACTCAGAAAGGAACACGCTCCAGCCTGTAGGGAGAATTTGGCCGCCGCTGCTGCTGTAGGAGCTGGAAGGTGTTTCCTCACAGTAGTAGGGGAGGGTGCTCACGCAGTGAGAAGGGCTGTTTTTGCCATTAGCTCAGGGTGATGTTTTTGCCATTAGCGATGATAAGCCATGCTATTGTCAGTTCTCAACGTGGCTTCCACCCCGTTTTGCCGACAGCACTCCAGAGAGAAAGCGCTGGCAACGGACACACCTGAAACTTTTTCTGTGGGACTCCCCTGTCACAGAGCCCACTGCAGACGTGGCTACAGGAAGAGGGCAATTCAACTTTTCAGGAAGGAGGTGGGGTGTCGCATCTCCACAGGCAGCACAGGGCTGACGGCCGCCACTTGCCAGGAAAGGAGCAGAACCCACTGCAGACGCAGGCCTCTGAGCAGCAGGGAGCTGCTGGTCATCGGTCCAGCACCGTCTCCCCAGTGTCTCGAGGAGTGAGACACGAAACTGACCAGAGTAACAGCACGAATCAAATGAGCTCATTTGAAAAAAGGCAGAGAAAGGGGTTTTCCCATAATGCTCACTTAAATCTGCCATAAATTAAAAGGGGTCAATTGTATTGCATAAAATGGTAACTAGCCTTTGGTGGTGATCACTCTGCAGTGCAGACAGATGTTGAATTACAATGAAACTTATACAGTGTTATGCACCAGTTTCATATAACATATACCAACTTATATATTGTTATATACCAGTTTTACTTCAATAAAAAAGTTTTAAAAGATAATGGAACCACCATAATTTCAAACATGTTTTATTTTCATTTCCTTCTTAAATTTTCTTTGGGCAAAAGTTATTTTTGTTCTTATTAAGAATTAATTTTCAAAACAAATTTTTCTTGTTTCATTTCCTGATTGACTTACAAAAAAACTTTCAAATCCAAATAAGATGACTCCAACAAGTAAAGGAAACTATGAAACTTTTTTTTTCAGGGAAATGGTTTTTCAGCAATGTTTTTGGCAGAGAAAAAAGCTAATTATAAAATCTTTGCAGTCCAGAAAAGAAATGTCAAAATAAAACAAATGCTGTCATTTACAGATGGTAAATCTCACTTTGCAATACATTATTGAATAAAAATAACTGTCAAAAAGTCATGGAAAAACATCGCTTAGCCAGAGACCTGAGCAAAAGCATTAAGTATATGCCAACAAAGCCTCATCCCTATCCAGCTGATAAAAACGGACGTGGAACCGTGACGACGTCAGTTTTTAAGACTACTCCCTCCCAGGCAACGCAATGTCATGGCTTGGCTGTGGCAGGGTCCCTGAGCCATCGACACACATCTCCACCCCACTGCCCCCAGGGATCTTTTAACCCGGGCTTCCCCAAGGCGTCCCCCTCACTCTGACTTGGGGATCCCAGAGGAAAAGCAAGGATCACTCCAGCAACCCTGTACCAGGGCCTGGCCTTCCTTCTCAATGGGAGGCTACCCACGTGAGCGTGACAGACGAGCAGACATGATTTCAAATGCCAAGAAGCCTCTTTGTCCAAGAAAGGAACTATTGATGATGGTTGCTTCTTTTAGACTAATTTTTTTAAATGACTAAAATGTAAACTGGAGAGTTAACATGTGTCTTAGTAGTTCATGTAAAGGGTTAGGTTCGTTCAGTCTTCTATGGTAAGATCTCGGAGAGAATACCCAGATACTCAATTTACAGCCTGATGTTCTCTTTCCCTGTTGTTCTACATTCAGCCATTTCTGATTTAACGTGCGTTCATTTCTGCTAAGTATACCTTTCCAGTGGGTTTCTAATCCAGACCACCGCCACACATGTAACACTCCCCTACCTGCCTCCAGAGGTAACTTACAGACTACTTACCGCAGGTGCCGTCAGAGGCACACCTGTGCTTAAAGACCTCGGACTGCTTTCCAAGCAGGAAACAGTTCACACTTCTGCCCAACACAGAAAACCCTTCACACTTCACCAACCTACTCTTACAGCATCAACTCCTGCCCTTCCCCATAAAAAGTGCCCTGTGCTTAACACAGAATTAACTTCTCCCCGTTGTTATAGAAGGTTCATGTGGACTCAGTCCTTGTACATGTTCCGTCCTTTGCCTAATATGCTCTTCCCCTTCTTTCCTGCCACATGTAAATTTTGCATCCCAGGGTAAATGTCGCATCTTTGGTGAACTTTTCACTTTCTCCCCAAGTCTTTCTCTCTCCTCTGTACTTCCACTGCACTTCTGCTTACACACTTATCTATCCCACTTATCTTGGTATCTTATCTTATATACA